GATGGGGACGGAGGGAGCCCGCCGAGCCGGACCCGCTCCCTGCTCCAGGGCGCCGGTTTTACCGGGCGTTATCGATGTAAAACACCCGCGGGGGTGGGCTTCCACCCCACGGAAACGACGGGCTCTGTTAGCACAGCCAGCGCCCGGCAGAAACCGGTGGCCGGTTTGCAGCGTGAGCGCCGAAGGTGCACGTCTGCCCCGTCCTCGCCTGGGTACCAACCCGCCACGCCTCTGACAGCTTCGTTAACTCGCGGGTGCACACGTAGGGTTGCCGGTTTTAATTTATGGTTCGTGTCAGATTGGGCAGCCCCTGCGTTTGTTGCTAAACTACCCCGTCAAATGCCTGGAGAGGCCAAGTGAATTGCCGAAGCCAGGCAACAGAAAATGCTGTTTGTTCAAAGAGAAGTGTTTTAAATCCAGGGGATGCCCTATCCACCGCGTGGCGGTCACACCGCTGTTTCTGGGCCTGGCCTGGCCCAGGCAGTCTTGCTTCATTTTTTTAGAGACTTGTTAGTCGTTGTTACTTTTTATAATGCTGAGATAGGTTATTGTGTGTCAGTACAGTTATGGAAAAAAATAAATTTATAAAGGCGTTGATATGATCAAACTGCGCCAGGTCCCTGGGTGAAAACTTTTCTTGAACTTTCTAAGCAACTGTGGAGACACTAGAATCAGTTTTGGTTGTATTTCCAAAAATATTCAACTGCACAGCTCTCGTTAACCAAAACCAATACTGAATGTGCATGACACCTTGGCATGTGTGGCTCAAGGTGTATCTGGTTAGAGCACAAGCTTAAAGCCTTTTGTGGACTTGAGATTTCCTTTTTCTTTTGAGCGCTAGCTTTATGACTTTGGGAAAGTCACTGTAAACACATCGGTTGCTCAGTTTCTGCATCTATAAAGTGTAATCACGAATTTTGGCTGCTGGGAATTGAAGGTGGTTGGGGATTTACTCTAGAGAAAATAATTCTGTGTCATGTGGACCAATGGGATTGTAGCTCTAAGATGATGGCAATATTTACTTCATCTTTCTACAAGCTAAAAAACTCTGGAAAGAAAACCCCAACCCTTCATTTTAATATATTGTCCATTTTCATGTTGTGTTTGAGGGAAATTTTAAAACTGTACAGTAATTTCCTGCTGGTACCTACTCAAACCCCACTGTGACATTTAGTCACACATGTCAGCTACAGACTCAATTAAACAGATCACTAGATTACTGCACAGGTTTGGAACTGCTCATGGACTTTGATGCCTGATACATTCTCTCACATCAAAGTGAGCATGTGTCTGCTTGTTTGAGCACCTATTTTTTTTCCTTATCTCTGACAGTAGTTTACTTCAGATGGCTGAGAAAACAACCAGAGGCCCGCAGGATATCCCTGGCTCTTCTCCTGATGAAAATGAATTTCCTTTCGGATATCCCACTAACATTTGTGAGGATGTGCCTGATCAGAAGTACCTGTGCAGCAACTGCAATAACGTTCTGAAGAAAGCCCTGCAAACGCTCTGTGGGCATAGGTACTGCTCAGCCTGCCTCTCCTGGATTGTGCGGTAGGTCCTTGCTACAGAGGGTCACACCGCCGTGGCGGATTCTGTGGCTGCAAGTGCTCCTGAGAGCTGTGTTGTGCCACTGTGCTCTGTAGATGAGTCTGTGGCTACCTCGCCCACTGGACCACAGTCACTTTACTATCTGGAAGTACTTACCTGCAGTGGGCTGCAGGCTACTCTCTACCTCCTTCTTGTTTTCAGTATGAAAGTCTACAGGGTGGGGAAGGCTTGACAGATGTCAGTTTTTCTATGTGCAAGTGTGAGATAATGATGCTGATTTAACCTTGAAGAACTAGTGCAAGGCTGACTTAATACTTGCATGGGACTTTACAGTCCTTTGATAAGTGATGTTATGGGATTTTAATAAACATTGTCTTAGAGTTTTATTTTTAATAACTCAGCTGGGTCATTACGTGTTAAGGTGCTGCTGCCATTAGTGACAAACAATGACAGCCGTTGTCCTGGAGAACCTGAAAACCAGGAGCTGGGCGGGGATGTGCTTTGATTGATTAGCTGCTTCTATCCTGCCTTTTCTTTTGACAATTGCGCCTTGATCCAGAGCCTTTGGAAAAGGTTATGTCTGCCCTGCAGGTGAGAGGTGAAATTGCAGTACAATTCCATGTATATGTGCTGACTTTAGCTTTGATGTTTTGGAAAACAGCAGCTGTCAAGATTCAGTAACTGGGCTTTAGTACTGGCTAAGTAAGTCGAAAGCCTGTTACTATGCTTCTTCATGGATGTTATTACTAAGCTAGTGTGTGTATGCCAGTTCATGCAGTCCCAGCTCTGATGACAGTGCGGGGTACCTGAAAAGCTGAGTCAATGCACTGGCCACTTGTGGTTTGAAGATCAACGTATAATAATGTAAAAATGTATTGAAATTAATATATTTGACCAACTTACATAAATTCATTACTGTAAATCTAGAACAAAGCCCCTTAATGAAGCAACATAAACAGTAAATTCAGAAAACTGTCAGCAGGACATAACTGGAATTGTTGTATCTTCCCACTAGAGTCTTATAGCACAAACGGGAAACTGGCTCAAACCAGCTAATAAGTACAGTTTGAAATCAGTTATGCTCTAGTCGGATGGATGCTTTTCTGATGAGCTTCTCACCCTGTATTAGTTCATTATTTGCCTGGATGCTAAACAGCGCTGGCAATGAAATACACCTCTAGTAAAATTTTATTTTTCACTTTTCCTATATAAAACCCTATGCTAAATATTTTGAGAGTAGATCAAAACCTTCTTAAGGTGCAATAGGATGTTAACTCTCTAGAACTCAATTCTGCACCGGTTCTATTAGATCTTTGTAATTTGAAGTCTATATATCTATCTTGGGAAAAAGGGCATTCTCTGTGTTTTAAGAGACTTTTGTTTTCATGTTATCTTTCCTATATGGTGGTTTTGCATAATTCATGAGATAAATAGGTTCCCAGCTTTATTCTTTTTTATGATCCAGGCTGCTCTTATTTTGCTGCAGTACAGATAAGATTTATGGGCCTAGTCCTAGTCTTGAGGAATAGAACAGCAGGGTTTTTTTGACGTCAGTGTGTTCAAGAATTGGCCCTTTAATGAACAAGGACTATGGATTCTGAGTGGAAATTACAGTTTCCGTGTTTTTATTTGTGTCAGTGTCTATACACTAAACTACAGTACACCACTGATTGTTATTTCATTCTTCTTTCTTTTTGCCAGAAACAATAAAAATGCCATTTGCCAGAAATGTAAAGAGGAAGATTCCAGCACTTTAAGTGAGGGAAGCCTATTGGCAGAAGAAAGGGTAAGTTTTAGTTCACAGTTCTTTAATTTATCATTAACCATTCTCTGGGCTACTCTATAGTTGTCATTGGACTACAGTTTAGGAGGGAATAAAGTAAAATATGATAGCAACTGATAGTTACGCATTTTAACTTATGCTTTAGTCATTCGGATTTCCCACAGTTTTTGATTTAAAAAAGTACAATGGCAGCCTTAGGACTTTGGAAGTCCATCAGGTTCTGCAACATAAAATCCCACACTCTTACATATAATTAACTTTTTATTGTCTCAAAGTAACCAGTACTTTCCTACTTGTAATAAGATGTCTTAGCTGTTACTTACTATACTTACTAAGTATCCTAGTGGATTTTCCAATCTCATGGTTCTCTGTACCCTTCAAACATGTTACCAAACTTACAGGTGGAGCATCCCTAAGAAAAAAAAGCTGGAGTGTAGGCTAGCTAGCTGAATTGCCTAGAAAGTATTTTGACAGCCAAGGTATCTGAAGAAAATAGTGGAAAACTTAGAGCTGAACATAATAATTGATAAAAACTATGCACTGGCAAATGTTTCATCTGTAATTTAACAGTGCAGATCTCTTTTGCTGTTGTGTGATTTTCCAGGCATCCTGCTGCACTATTCTATATCCTGAATATAAACTGGGCCATAGGGCTCAGTCCCAGCTTGCCTTTTTCCCTCCTTTCTGATTACATGCAGGAATACCAAGAGACACACATTCTGCCTAAATTTGTTAGGGAAAACCGAAACCCAATAGGCAGCTGGCAGTGAGGTAAAAGGCAAAGTTTAGGAAGAGGCTGCAGCAAAATAATGAATCTGCAGTTAATGCTGAACTTGGTAATATCTCAGAAAAAAATCCTCAATTCTGCAATAAATTTCCCAGTAACAGAATTTCATGCATCATGTAACCACAAATAGGTACAGCTAAACCCTTATGAACTTCTTATTCTATGTTGACTGTCAGTTCTCTTATAACTTTGGGATTTCTCTGCTGTGGGATTCTCACTAAGTCTGCTAGGACTTTCTGCAAAATCTGTGGGTGGGTTGTTGTAAACAGGGCCCCACTCTTGCAAGCTGATCTGCCTGGGCAGATTCTTATGCCTGTCAAGAGTCGAGATGAAGTCAGTCACCACGAAGGCATGAGGATCTGCTTGTATAGATCAACTTACAACAAATGGTCGGAGTTTGTAAACAACACGAATAATGAAGATCATTTAGCAGGTTTATTCTTTATATCTATTCCTGATAATCTCTGCTTTACCTTTGCTGTGGTTTTGCTTAATGTTTATTTCCGATGCTATCTGTTTACATGTTTATACTTTAAATAATATACCTACACAAGGAAAAGAAAGACCCTATCAGGATGTGTATTTGCCTTAGCTTATCCCAAGATCTATTTCTGTGGTAACTCCCATCCCTTCCCTGTTACATTTTAATTTATGATCTCTTCCTATACAACATATACTTCAAGTCTTATCATGGTGCTGTTTATCAGTATCGGTTACCAAGCATCTGCATCTCTCACTGAAATCAGTTAGAGGAGTGGGGGCATCCTCCCAAGCTTCTGCTCACACTCTATCTGCTCTCATTCATGGGACTGGCATAGGGGACAGTTGTCTGCTCTGAACTGAGCACGAATCACTTGGTGCTCTCCCCTCCCTGGCTGTGTTAGAGCAACTGAAGATTCTGGTTCAGCTGCAGAGGGCCAACCTTAGCTGAAGAGAAAATAACCACTAGATTTATCCTGGAAAGCTTTTGGTGGGATTGATCCATTTGTCAAACTTGTTGCTAGCTGATCTTCCTGACTACATGAGCTGTAGACCAGAGTCCTCCCTTAGCTAGAGGCCGTAAGATACACATTGTGTGGGTCAGAGTGCCGAGGAGGAGTGCACCTGGCAGCGGTTCTTGGATGGGACATGGCAGGGGACCTCCGCTTGTGTCACAGTCAGCTCTGGGTCAGGCAGGACTGGGCAGATACGTGTGCCGTGACAGCCACCCATGATCAACATCAGCAGCCCCTGCACCAACATCTTCCTTTGAAATAGCTAAAATGAAAGAGGGGAGATGTGCAACTACAATATGTCAAATCTAAGAAATATTTTCTGTTTCCTTCTGGTTGACCCAGGGCACTTCTATGTCAGTGAGAGTCATCTCATTTACTGTATGAGGGTCTCACTCAGGTCCCTGAAGAAGTTCTGTGTAAACTCAGGTTCCCGGAGGGCAGAGGTTCAGGTGACTATTTTGAAGCAGTGACCCCTGCGGATAAAAGAAGAGATGACGATTTCCTGCCTTGTTTTTTACCTGAGTAGTTCATAATGATTTAGCAACTACAAGTGTGAAACAAAAAGCACAGGGAGTGCACATAGCAGTAAGAAACACATGCACTGCTGGGACTGTCCCTGTAGTTAAATATGTTTTAAATGATCTATTTTGTAATGTCAGGAAATTCCTTGAGTTTTTCTTTTATGACACAGGGGGAAAAAAGCCACCATGTGCCTGATAACTTGAATTTCTTTTCTTTGATTTTGCTCATAAATTAGACTAGAATGTTATAGAGGCTGGGGCTGGTATGCTTTCACTAATTGTATGGTGATTGCTAGCTTATTATGTAAACTCTTCCATATATGCAGATGGAGCAATACATGGTTTTGTACAACCTACATGATTTTTTTTAATTCCTTGTTTGTGGAGTTGTTTGCAATTTGTGTGCAAAGTTCTTCTGGGTTGGACTTTGCTTGCAGGTTGAGATTAGAAAAGGAGTTTCTATGAGACCTTGCCTATAGAAATGTATCTCATTGTTACCGTTCGTAGAATTGGCTGTGCGTCTTTTGTGTGATTTAATATGACAAATGTAGGTAGGTGCAAACATCTTGTATCTAGCTTTAAAAAAACCAATCAAGAATGTTGATTCTGATGATTTTGTTTGCTTATTTTTTTTAGCTTGTTGTGTAGAATTTCAGTAACATTACTGAAATGTGGGCATTATTTGTAAATACTTTCCTCCCTCTATTTGTAAAGCTTCCCCCCCAACCCCAGTTCTTGCCTTGCTCTGTGTTATGTTACGTGGGAAATCTGCAGTCCTCTGTATTGTGTACTTTCCAATAGAGTATCTAAAAACATGCCATTAACTTTAGTAGGGCTTGTTCCTGTGCCAGCGTATCTATTTTGATTGTGCAAAATGTAATAGTAGAAGTGTGCAGTGTTTCATAATTTACATAATAATCGTACAATTCTTCATGGTTAACATAATAAAAAAGTCTACGTAGTGCAAAAAAACCCCACTCACATATGTTTTACATTTCTTCAGTACACAGTGCTATACTAAATGGAAACAGCCATGGTCTGAGAAATGTACTCTCACTGCAGAACAGTTTCAAGTCCTCTCTGCAGCACGTTTAGGAGGTGTTAATGACCGCAATAATGAAATGCATTCATTAAGAGTGGCACATGGCAGCACCCTATAGTTAGGGTCCTGTCAGCACATTCGTTGCATGTGACGTATTTCAGGCTTCTGTGAAAAGAAACTTAAAATAATAGCTGTAGTTGGCTAGGCATATTTTCGGTAAAATTATATCACATCAAATAGTTTATTTTTGAACCATGAGAAAGAAAAGATTTAATAATTATTTGGGCTTCTATTACACCAAGATTAACTTGCTACATTAGAGAGTCTTATGGCAGTACAGTAAATCTAAAAAAAATAAGGGATTTATCAAGATCTGAAATTTTGACACAGTCACCTTATTCCTATGTCAAAAGTGCATGCTAAAGTACTTTCTGACCAGTGTTTTTTTCCTTACTGTGTTTACTTTCCAGGCTTTTGGTGATGCTGCCATTAATAAAGAGATTTCTGAACTCAAAGTACACTGTGTGACCCTTGGATGCAGTTGGTCTGGTATAATGAAAAATTTTGAAGTACGTTTAAAGGCAGTTTATTTAAATTAACATGCATTCTTACTTGAGTAGGGACAGAAAGACAGTGAAAGGAGGTTCTCGGCAGACATAAATTAATGTAACTTCATTAGAATCAGCGAAGGTATCATGATTTATACCAGCAGAGTATCTAAAAACATGCCATTAACTTTAGTAGGGCTTTGACCAAATGCAGAACATCCCCAATGATTGTGAAATTAAAGTTGCACAAATTTACATCAACTAGGATTTTTTTTAAAATAAGTTTACTTATTATTTAAATGCAAGGAAGCTACAAGCAGTTTTCGACAGACCAGAATACTTCAGTCTCCAGGACATTGTTGTGGGCAATATTCTTAGTATGTTTTTATAAGAGAAATAATTTCCTCCCGCATAAATTATTCCTATTGATTGAATGTGTTCATCATTCTTTTCAGACTGTTGTGAAATGCCCCAGGTAAAATATTTAAGTGGTCAAGATCTGTGAATCTGCCATGCAAATTAGAATAATGAAAAAATAGAGATAATTCTGATACTAAAGTAGCTCTATTTTGGTCCCCTGGTGTAGGAGCAGAGGGTCTTTCTGCATTTATAACAGGGAGTCTGCTGTGTACCTTGTATGACTGTGTATCTGATAAGCATCTGAGGTGCTGCTGCCTTTTCTTTGCTAATTTTGCACAAATTTTCTATTTGAGTGTATTCCTCTTTAAGGAAAAATCTACCCAGTTTGCTTAGCTTCACAGTTTTGAGAATTGGAGCCCCTCTCAGCATGAATACATGGCAAAACTGATTTGAGAGTTGGGCGTGTGATTGAAATTGGCATTTCTGAGCCTGTTCTGTAGGGGACAGCCATCTGCCTTTAACGACAGAATCAGTTGTGACACAGTGCCTACAGAAGCTTCAGTAAAAGAGGTCAGCGTTTTTATTGAAATACTGTGTTTTTAAGAATCTGAAAGTAGACTTGTTGGATGTAGTTATGGAAGAAGTAATGCTGCTATTTTTCCTCGTTGAGATGAGAGGATGCAAATAGTGAATATAGGTAAGGGTTGTGTCCTAATTGTTGCATAGAAAGTGTCAGATGTCCGTTCTTTTATGCTATGCAGAGATGTCAGCAGACTAACCACATTGATCCTACCAGCCAGAGGATGGTATCAGTGCTCAAAAAAACCCCCCAAACCCCACAAAAAAACAAAACCAAAAAACTACCCCGAAAAACCCCAGGCTAAAAGTTAGGTATCCCCTAAGACAAAGAAAAAAGCTGGGACCAGGATCATGTTGTTTTCAAACAAAAGCACTAGAGAGAGACAGTTGAAGGGAGGCCTCATGTTTGAATTTATCAAAAGTTGTTTGTTTTTTGTTGTTTTGTTTTGGTTTTTTAAGTTAAGAATTAACAAAAAAGCCCCAGTAAAGTTGGTGGATTTTTCACCAGTAACTTCGGTAACATTGTGGAGTGGGACTTTACCCAAGCTTAGAACAAATGCAAAGCAAAGGTCTAGGCTGGCAGAATGGAGACTATTTATAGATAAATGTGTATCTGCAGTTCACATTTTTGTTTCTAACTTTTTACTTCTTACTTCCAGGAGCATCAGAGTTTGTGTGAATATGCTTTAATCCCTTGTCACACTGGTTGTGGACACATGGTGATGAGAAAGAAACTTGCAGATCATTTGGAAAATGGATGTGTTAATAATGTGACAATGTGTCAGAAGTGTAAGCGGAGCTTATCCAGTAGTGAATACCAAGTAAGAACATTTCTCTGTTTCCAATGAGGGCTTTATATTAATGGCTTAAATAATGTATCATGACATTTTTATCCTGATTTCATGCATGCTAGTGCACTTGGAGAATATTTAATTTTCCTGAGTTCGCTAATTTTTCCATGCATGTGTCAGAGGGAAAAATGAGCTGTATTTGATAGTCTGCTTGTGATGTTACGACAGAGACGGAAATATCTGTGTGCTCATCCAGGGCTTGGGCAGCCCATATTTTAGCTCTTGTCTCAAAGCTGTCTCAGCGTGAGGTAGGTAAGAAGCAGAAGAACACAGACAGTGGCAGGGAAGAGATCTTGAAAGTGGCTGGAGTATTATTCAAACTAAAACTGCCCACAGATTTGTAAGGCAGGCTTTTGTCAGGTATTATTTCTATCAGATATGATCAGGTATAACTCTGCAAATTAGCAGCAGTGTCCATATAGACCAGGAACAGCATACTCTGAATCTGCCCGAAATTTCTCCGTGATTATTTAAACATATTTAATTCATATTTTTTATGTTTAACTTGTTTCCCACTGTTGTGACAGGGACTTGCAAAATGTATGTGTATATATCCTCCATATGCACATACACTAGTTTGTCCCCAGCATTTGCTCAAAATCCTCTTTAAACCAACTTTTTTTTTTACACAGGAATGTAGTTGATCATCAAACTTTTAAGTTTATGTTACTAAACCTATTCCATTCTTTCTTAAAAGTAATTACTTTCTCAGTCATGTTCAAAATTGTGATAGCAGGGCAATGTTATGTGTTACTGATTTGCACATTTTAAGTACCTTTATACATTCATTTTAACTTAAATAAAAGGTGCTCTTTATTTTTACCCATTTTTGTAGATGCAGCATGGTACAAATTCTGGGAGTGGTCTGAGGGCATAAAGTGGGCTAATAGAAACTCTTCTGTGTTGCTGAAGGAGGAAATAGGGGGGGGCGGGTGGCAGATCAAAAGTCATAGAAAATTATCTGTTCCTACATGAAAAGTTTGCCGAAGATATAGCTTCACTGGCACACTTCTCAGCCTCATGATGGAAGTGCATCATCTGTTGTTTAGGACGTTTTGTGATTAAAAACTCCTGGAGCAAAGCAATAGCAGCATGAATGAGAGATGCCCCACGCCTGCTAATACTGCTATGTATGTTTTGATTTGAAAGCTCTAAAAACATTCTCGTCCCAACCCCACCTAACTTCTGACCCTGGGGGCTCTATTATCACAGAAAATGTTGCTGGGGCAATGCTCTTTTGGGGTGTAGGATAATGAATATTGTTCCCTCCAGATGATTTAAAGAGAATAATTGCCAGCCTTGGAGTTTTGTCCTGGAATGGGGGCAAAGTGATATAAGACCTACATGGCAGGATGGTTGCGAATATCTCAAAAATATAGCCTGAAGTAAATAGTAGTGGATAGCTTTGCATGTCATAACTGTCACAAATTTATGCCTTTCCAAATACCGAGCTGTGAGATTTACTCAACATGGCGGTAACAGTCCCTCTGGGGTAAGAATAAGGCATTCTTGCTAAAACATGTTTCTTGGGAAGCTTTTGCATGTGCTTTTCATATCTTACTAACTTTTACAGAGAGAGGAGAATATCTGGACCCAGGCACATTTTACCAGTCCTAAATCCAGTGTATGTTTCAGAGAGACAGTAAATACCAGAAGGTGGCAACACTTAATCCCTTGCAGCCTTCTGTAAGTGCAGTAGGCAGGCTGGAGAAGGAAACCTGAGCTGTGTGAGTGTTCCCTGAGCACCTTTCTCTTTTCAGAGATCTGTGATACCGCAGATCCACCTCAGCAGGCTTCATTTTCCTGCAATGAAGAACTGTTTTCCTCCCACTCATTCTGGTTACCTATCATCTAATTAATTTTTTGCTTACGAAACCTTGGCAAACAAGCAAGGGATTAGCCTTGAGATGTTGATTTTTCTCTGCCTGCCTTAGTATTTGTAAAATTGGGATTTTGCTGGTTACATGATCTGCTTTATTAAATTTGCAGTTACGTGGCATAGGAATTTTGATTATTTGTGTGTATTCCATGTATCCACAATCCTCTGGGAGCAAATAGTAAGTTTTGGGCACTGCTCTCGCTCTCTCCATCTTAGCCAATCTGTTACTGGTCTTGTGATTTTTGCATTTCCATATTTTAAATAAACTTCTCACCAGCCCCTCTCCCCCTCAAGAAATCAGTGATCTGAAGGAGTCAAATAGCAGAAAGGAAGAAAATAAAGGCGTACTGTGTGCAATAACTAAGACAGAGAGTATTAAAAAAATGAGTTAGAAAGTGAGAAAAACCTATGGCTGTATTTCTGAGGGTGGAAAGAGAAACCTCAGGACTCTTTGCAGGGGAGACTTGAAGGTTGCTGGAATGGCTTTATCAAAAAATTTCTAGACTGCTGTAGGAAAAGTACTGGCATGCAAAGGTGTTTATAAAGATTAAAGAGAGCCCCCTGAACAGTGTGAATTGAAAGCTGACAGTTGCGATGTTAAATACATATATTACAGTTGTATGAACCAATGGCAGGAGGATTACTTTAGCCTTCTTGGAACCAGAAATGTCAGGAAGTCTCATGTTAGGGGTAATGCATTTTGCATTAGCACATCATGATGGAAAATTTGGATTCCAGCCTTCAAAATGTTAATAAGCAGGATGCTAGAAGGATCTGCACATTAAGCAAACTATATGAAGTCAATGCAAGAAGAGTTTATATTTGGGTTTCCTGTATATTTGCTTTCTGTTCTGTAATTCACCTGCATGTCATTGCATATATATGTGTGTGTACATAAGTGTGTGTGTGTGTGTGTATGCACATAACTATGGTTTCAACTGGGCAAGACTTGTATATTGCCAATCTTGTATCAAATTTCCCAGGGTGACCTTGCAAAGCATCTGTAAGTAGTTTCCAAAAGCTCTGGGCCCCATAAGTGAAAGATCGCACTTTGTACTTTCACTTTACAGGTATTGCATCTGGAGATCCATCACTGAACACACCTGCTAGGCTGAAAAGAAGAGTAATCATCTTAGAGGCTTAGCTTGAGAAACCTCTGTGTCTGCAATTTGTTGTACAGGGGACAGCAGCACCTGCTTTTAGCAGATGTGCTTTAGTCCCAAGTTTCTGAACGTTATTTCCTCTAAAAAGAAGCCAGAGAACTCTGCAGCCTATTGTGTAGTGAGGCCCAGAGCAGGCACTCTCTGGACAGGGGTACAGGATTTTGCACCATGTGTTGTGGAGCTCGTAGTGTTCCTGGGGAAGTTACTCTTCCTTCCTTTACTCCTCCTTAAATCCACACCTTCCAGGAAGAAAGCAAGAAACTTATTGTAAACTTTTTCTTCCATAACACAGAATTTCTTGTAGAAAAGCCTCCCAAATCTCCAAGTTTCTGTAAAATGGGAATAGCATTCCCAAAGACAAGCTTTGTTTCAAAGACTCCTAAATAAAGATGCTCAACGATTTTAATAATGTACTGAATTCTTTTTTTCTTCTTTTAATGACAGGAACATTCATGTGAAGGCAATTTATGTAAGGAACAAAAATGTGTGCAAACAGAAACACCATCAAAGGAAAAGGTAGGTAAAAGCTTTATTTCAGTTCATAAAAGTATCACTTGTTCATGTAGGTTAAATGAACATTTGAGAACATCTTCAGATATGGCAGTTGTATCTGGGCACTTTTTACATCCCAACATAGCTCTGCTAACTACCTTCTCTTCCCTGCTCCCACAATTAACTTTATTAAATGATCTTCTCAATTAATCTTACAAAAATGGGGAAACGTTTGTTTCCTTTCAAATATTCAGGGAGACCCACATGAGCAAAAGAAGAGTATGCTGTATAGCAGCATATTTAGAGAGACATGCATTGGTTGTTAAGGGGACTAAATCTGAAAGTCAGAGCTTTTGGTCTGATCGATCCATTCATTCCCAGGGCGTGCTGCATGATGCAGCTCTTCTGTGCATTCTTTAAGAGCAGGAAGAGGGTTGGAGTGGCTGTGTGCATGGTGTTATCCACTGTGGTGGGCCACTTTGCTTATTGGAATCTCATTTATGAGAAGTTGTTATAGGGGATCACTGTGGTTTGTTAAATTATGTTATATCATTATGGATTCTATTAGATGGACACTTAACTGCCAGGCTGTGTGCGAGAAACTTGCAATCAATCACACTCGTGATTGATTTACCAATGAATTTTCAAAGCTGGTCGGACACTGTAAAGTGCGGTAATGCCTTGACTTGAATTAACCTGATTTATAGCTGCTGGGATTGTGGCCTAGTTGTTTGTACGTAAATAAAAGAATCCCTTTCAATTGGTATTTGATTATTTTCTTTCCTTCTTTTTTCAACAGAACTGCTCTACACCCTTAATCAACAAGGATAGATGTTGTTTTTCTGAAGTCGGCTGTTCATTCAGGGTGAGTGAAACAGCTGCCTTCAGGAAGGTCTCAAATGGTGTACAACTCAGCACTATGCCTTTGGTCTAGCCAGCCTTTGTGTTCAAGGCAGTAGGCCTGATTTAAATATATCTTTAAGAAAAGAGAGAAGGTCTACCCACTTTTAGTAGACCAGCAGAGGTGATGTTGGAACTGCCAACATCATGGTTACGCAGTGTGTGTAGGTGCAGTTCAGCCAGTGATACCCTGTGTCCTGCACTGTGCATTCACTTGAGATAAAAACAGATGTTTATTACAATTCCGCTGTTTTATCAGATATGCTGTTCTGCTCTGTTTTGGATATTGCCTTCAGGGTAACGCCTCTTAAAACAGTAACGGGTCTTCTTTACATTTTAGTTTGCATTTGTTGCCTTGTCTCATGTTTTGTGCACAGTATATATATTAAATATTGCTTATTGGAGAATCTTGCTGAGACTCTGCCTGGCATCCTGTTTAATACAGAAATTGTAGACAATTGTTTTCTTTTTATGTAGTCTATGTACGCATGTGAACACATAGCTTAAACTGATCATTGGAGGGCTTGTTGGTTTTCCTTGTTCCGTGTCTCCTCTTAGAGTCGGCTGCAATGTATCTTGCAGTTCTTCCACCTCTGTCTCTCCCAAGCAGTTAAAGGGAACATTGCTTGATTTGGCCCCAGGCCAGTTATGGTAGTTGTACGGAGTGTATTGACAGTGTCGTCTTCTTACAGGGAAGCAAAGAGAAGATAAAGGATCATGAAAAAACTGCAGTTGGAGCCCACATGCTGCTTCTGCTGCAGCACATAAAGCAACTGGAGGCAAGCTTGTGCCCTGCTGCCAAAGCTGCAAATGGTTCCATCCCACAGTCAGAGCTGAAAGTGAATGGTGCAGGAAAATGCATCTCTTATCTGCAGATCCCAGGGGGGCTGGAAGTCAATGGGGATCTGGAAGTAGACTGTTTTCCTGGATCTTCTGTTTCTGAAGATAAATCTGTTCTGCAGCAACTTGTAAGGGAGAAAGTGATTTCTGAGCTAGAAAATAAGCTACATGTGTTTGAGAATATTGTGGCAGTGCTCAATAAAGAGGTGGAGACCTCTAACTTGGAAATCACAGCCTTTCGGAGACAGAGTGAACTCGATCAAAATATAATACGAGGCCTTGAACTGAAGGTAAATAGTTATGATAAGCATTGTCTCTGTGCTTTTCTATCGATAACAAATATTTACACATATCAGAGAGGTGGTGTAGGGATCAGGCAGGGATGGACACAGGAATTTGAGCTGTGAAGTGTTAAGTTCTGGACACATCTACAGGATCCTTTTGTTGTTTTGGATAAATTTTCAAATGGGGATCTCTAATATTATCTAAATCTGTGTTTAGGTGCCTAGATATTCCTGAGAGTTTTGAATGTTCAGAATTTGCCATGATCAGACTGTTAGCAAGTAAGACAGTTGTTTGAATGACTGATCCTCTTAAAGCAGCATTATGCCTGGAGGACCAAACAACCATCTATCACTTAAAAAGAAATCAGAGGAGACCCTCCAGAACACGAGGACTCCAGAACAATTCTGCTACTGCTGCAGCACAACAGCCCGGAGAGGGGGGTCGATTGAGAACTGATTTGTTTTTTCTAGATTGCAGAGTTGCACAGGTCCCTGATGCAGAAGGATGCAGGCCTGAGCAGTCTTCATAAGAGTCTTCTGTTCTCTGAGCAAGCTTCCTATGATGGGGTCTTTCTGTGGAAAATAACAGATGTTGGCAGGAAGTTACAAGACTCTGTGACTGGAAGAACAGTCAGTTTGTATTCACCAGGTAAAACACATGACATATATGTGTGTTAACAAAACCCAGACCTGTAGAAAACCCACTTATTTCTCTAGAACGGTTCTTCTTTCTGCTCATGTGGTCCTTTAAAATAGCTCCTTAAACTAAGATGCTGTTTAGGCAAAGACCTCATGCTCTCCTGCCTGTAGCTCAGGGCAGCTGTGATGTGCTTTTCCACAGAGTTGTGTTCTGTTCTGGGCTTTCATTTTGCAGTTTGCCCTCCGCCGCAGCTACTTGCAGTGACATCTGCTGGATCTGTCTCGTCTAACCCACAGCTTGGTGCCTGATGGTACCGAATGGCTTTCTGCAGCAGTTATCTCTCATGTGAGAAGTAATTTGATTATGTAAAATAATGCTTGTGTGGCTAACAACAAGTAATTTTCACTGAGGCATAAGGCACTAAAGGATTCCAACCACTGGATTTTCCTTGCTTATAATCTCCAGGGTGTACCGGTTTGTCTGTTCTCATCTCCGTGATAGCAAAAAACTTCATACACTGTCTTTTCCCATATGTCAGAACACTCATTATGTCTTTTTTTTTCAAAGGAGGCTTTACTAATGAAGAGTTCTGATTTTCAGCTTTCTACACTGCAAAGTATGGCTACAAGGTCTGTCTGAGGGTTTATCTGAATGGGGATGGGACAGGAAAAGGAACCCACGTGTCCCTGTTCTTTGTTGTCATGAGAGGAGACTACGATGCTCTGCTCCCATGGCCTTTCAGGCACAAGGTAAGAAGGGCAACCTTTTCATATCTGATCCTAGCATAAATCCACTACTTCTCCCAGTGAACACAAGGGGACTTTTTCTCTTAAGTTTAGTGGAAGTTGGAGCATTTTCCCGTTTTCCTCTCCGATGGCTGTTAGTCACACTGTAATCTTGGATAATAATTTGTCTCTGAATGGAGTGATTTACGCACAGGGAAAGCTTCTCTTACCAAGATTCCATACTGTGCCTTGTAGGATTTTCAGACACCAGAATACTGGTGTTTGATATATCCCAACCTGGGTCCATTTGGGCTAAAGCCAGAGACACATTTTTTTTCTGGCTCTTGCTATACATAGATATTATCAATTTATGAGGGAATTATGATTTGCTGCCTGAAGCACAGCAAAGGGTGTCAGAAATGTGAGGTTAGAGTTCTACTTACAAACGTGCCGTAAATGTCTTATGTGTTCCTGATCTTATTTTTTCACGTTTTCTAAGTGCAATCTGATAATGGCAACAATGGTTAGAAAAGCAGTGAAAGTGTGCACAAGGTTCTGGTCTCTGTTATAGCACTTGCCTTTGTGTGGTAATAAATCTGTAAGCCTTTCATATAAATAGCTTTACTACCATTTAGCGGCCAAAAAAAATAGAAATCAAAGTTCCCAATCCTCATTATCTTAAAAAATTATTACATACATTTCATGTTTCAAGCTAAAGAACTGTGAGTTAATAAAAGTGGTAACGAGATGGGGAGATTCTATGCAGATATTTAGGTTGTGTCTTTTACATATTTGCGTACAGGCAACTGAGCTGTTTCTTTTGATTCCAAACCACAATAACAGAATGAATGTAATGACTGTAACCAAACTCGGGATTTGTTTAAGTTGTCAGGAGAGAGAGGAAAAACGTCTTTGGATTGTGCAGTTCTCTACCAAGAAATAATTCCTTACTTTATTTTATTTAATTTTATTTTATGGGTGGCAAGATTTTAAATACTTTATCTGGGAACCGTTACAATCTCCCTTGTTCACATTAACTGACCTTGCAGGTTGTGAAACATTAATTATATTTTATATTTAATTATCGATAGAGCATCCAGCTGCTTTTGCAGCATGTTTGCACTTCTGTCTCTGATATTTCCTGGTTTCTTTTTCAGTTCAATAACTCATCATTGCCACATTCTGTTTTTCAGGTTACATTTATGTTGCTTGACCAAAATAATAGGGAACATATTATTGATGCATTTCGACCAGACTTGACTTCTGCTTCATTTCAGAGACCAGTGAACGATATGAATGTTGCAAGTGGGTGTCCTATGTTCCTCCCTTTGTCCAAACTACAGTCACCTAAATATGCCTATGTGAAAGAAGACACGCTTTTCCTTAAATGCATTATAGAAACAAATTAGTAAATCATGAAGTATGAGTGTCTGATAAATCACTCACTGAATTTCATTGCTTTACAAGGAAAAAACCCATCAGCTTGAGACCTTGTATTAGTTTTCATGTGCACACAAAATCCAGAGAGCCTGAGCCTACGCTCCACTGAATCCGTTCACATCAGCTGAAGATCTGCCTGCTAGAATTAGCTACTGCTGAGCATGCCGAGTACTTTGCCCAGTGCCCCTCAGAGTGTGCTATTGCAAATGAGATCTGCGATTATTTCATCAAAACACTCCTGGTTTAGATGTAGGTTACAGTCACCCCCCTGCAGATGCACTTGTGGAAGAAGGCGCTGTTCTTTCTCACGCCCGGCCCAGGTGTGGGTGTCATTCTGCCTAGATGTCTGGCAGGGAGTGTGGCCCGAGCTCCCTTCTAGCACCCTTGGGTTCATAGGTTTCTGGGGTGCAAGGGGTGAAGCTGAGCTTTCCCCATCCTCCGGCAGCGCCGCGGCGTGTGCGGGTCCCTTTCCCGGGAGGTACGGAGCGAGGACCTGTCAGACGGCGCTGGCTGGCGGCCCTGATGTGGGGTTTTGGCTGTTCCCCCACCAGGGACAAGGGCAGATTCCTTCCCCTGAGGCACCTATCGGGTGTCTCTGTTTGTGCTTATTGACGACCTTGAAAGCAGTGAGTTGTGGATAGCATCTGTAGCTTGCATTCCTTACACCAGATGATTTATTTCTTGCTATTTATTTTAGACCTATGTTTAAGTGCTCTGTAAAGAGATGTTCTATTGCATCAGCAATCGGTGACCAGATTACACTGTGCCTTGGGGAGATTACCTCTTGCATTTCCAAGGGAGTCGTTTCACTTTCCTATTTCAGACATGGAGCTCTGAGGGTTGTTAACCCCCAGGAAGTCCAGAGCTGCCAGTCCAAGCAGTAGTAAGGACCCCTCAGAGCTTTGTTTTAGAGTGTTCAGTCGGTTCCTGAACCTTCAAGGCAAGTGACTTATTAGAAAGCATTGATTTTTTTTTTTTCTTGGTTAATTCTTTTTATGTGCTCTGTTGCTTAAGTCTTTTCACATGCTAAAATAGAAGTAACTACTAGAAATTTTTTTGTCTTTTTTTTTTTTAAATAGAGGTAAAGAATTAATTTTTTTTTTAATAAACAAGTCAAGCTTGGAAATGTCTGGATGTGTGCGAAGTACAAATGCTACACATCCCCAAAAAGCAGCCAGCCTCACCCACCCCCTTCCTTCTCTGCTTAACAACTGTTTGACAGAGTCAGTGGAGTTGCGTTGGGTTTTGGTGCAGCAGTTTCTGAACTTATTTGTCCAGGACTGCGAGCTGTTCCACGGGACGAGTGGGACTGCAGTGTACAAACCCAAGGCCTGATCCTGCAGACAGAGGCAGGTGTGTATATATAAGTAAAAGGCCTATATGCAATTTCTGTATTCATTTTTCCTCTGCAATATTTCCCATATTTCAATTGAAAACACAAAGCCAACAGACAATATTGTGCCCGCTGCTTGAGAAGGGAAAGGAGAAACTGTTTGTCCACTTATATTTTGCAAACCATGGAAACCGCAGCCGTCTAGCAGAGCTGGTGAAATGTCATGTGCTGTGACTAACCTCCAGCCTGTCTGCCGGCATATGAAGAGATTTTTCAAACCTCTCATTTCTATCTTGACAGCATCCTTTAAAATAATTAGTTGTGATGAAGTATCAAATTTCAAAAAACCCCACACCGTAAACAAATATCTATCAAAGCTTGTTTGGGATGGAACTGGATATTCTTTGCCATCACACACACGTACAGTCTCTCTCTCTGTCTGTCTTTTTCTCTCTTCCATGTTTGAAATGTTCTTTCAGGGACAGAAAGTTATTTTTCCAGTAATGTGCCAGCCCCTGAAACCACACTGGAGTAATATGCCTAAAAATACTATGCTTTTCATGGCTGTGTAATTTTGACAAGTGCTGTATTTATTATAATCATTCATATTTTCTTACAATTTTATTTATTTCCTAAATAAAGCTCACTAGCTTAAAAAAGGTTTGTGTGTTACTTTCACTATAAAGTAGGCAATTGAGCAATTTGGATAGCGGTTTGCTATAGAAACAGCTGAGCAGTGCTGCAAAACTCACTTATTTCTCCATAGCAGCACCAAGCAGGTTTACCCAGCGCGGGGTCCAGCTGTGCTGCGCACTGCCTGGTGACCCAGAAATAACCAGCCCCTGTCCCGAGGAGCTGATAATGCCAACAGTCAACCGAGGCGCTCGGGATGAAGTGCCTGGCCTGTGGTCCTGCGGGAAATCGGTGGAAATTTTGGGAATGAACCCTAAAGCATCTCTCATGTCAATGCCATAACGATGGGGTCACCTTTTCATTGCCGATGGAAGTTGGCATGTTTATGTGGAAGACGTAGCACCCGATATATGGGGGTTTGACCTGGAAAATTGAATAAAGGGTTGTACAACTCCGACTCCCATGGCGCTACCCGCCTGCCAGCCGGGCGCAGTGCAAAGAGGGCTCTGGGGCCCGGGAGGTGAGCGCGGGTGATGATGGCGCGATCTGGCACCCCGAGCTTATTTCCAGAGCCTCTTCTGGCTACTGCAGCCAGAGCGGAGCGGGAGGGAGGCGGCAGCTGATCTTAGAAGAGTTACTGCAGATTAAGATAGTGGTCGGCTCTGCCTGGTTGCCAGGGGAGTCGGAGTTGCTCCATACCTGTGTAACCTTCCCTTGGCCCTCGCTGGCCCTGGAGCTGCTTTTCCACTGGGGGTTTTTAATTAGCTGCTTTTATCGTAATGGGCATTGACTTCCCAGGGCGGCTTGGCTGCCACTTTGCTCCACTGTTACTTTTTTGTGCAAAATCCTTTTCCACGTAGAACTGTTATTTCTTAAAAATAATTAGGAGGGTTTTCCTTGTGTGTGAGAGACAGAGAGAGAAGGTGGGGGGGAAAAGAGTAAAATCGTGTGTGGGTGAGAGCTGGGGAAAGAGATAAAGTATTTGTGAATATATGTGAGAGAGAATATTTATGTGTATGTGTCTGCATCGAGGGAAGCAAAAATATATCTGTGTGCATATGTGCATGTGCAGGTTGAGAGATACATCCAGCGGAGAGTGAATGACTTGACGCCTTCGTGCTTTTGTCTGGTGTGATTCTACCAGGAACAATTACACCGATTTTCTTCAAATGCTGTGCACAGCCAGGATTTCACCGATGGCCGGAGCCCGGTGTCGCTCCAGGCTGGAGGTCGAATCTCCCAGAAGCAGCACAAGCTGCAGGGAAGCAGAAGCATCCAAACTGGCCGAATAAATACCCTGGAGAGAGGATGCACCGGGGCTCTGTCCGTCCTGGTGTGACCGATACCCGTCTGTGCCTGACCTGCCCCGGAGGCGAGAGCCAGGCAGGACGGGGTGGGCTGGAGACGTCCCTTCTGCAGAGGGGAGCAGGGGGAGCCCATGCAGCCCTCGCCGGAGCGTCCTCCTTGGAGGACAGGGGTGACGATGGAAGAAGAGACCTGCTTGGTAAAAATCAATTTTAAAAGTTCAGTTCCAGTTTTCTTTCTAGCCACAGATTCCCAATGGGGAACCCCCTGAAGTGAAACGGGAGGAAAGCTGCAAGGCTGCAGAGTTTGCAGGACCCTGTGCTCATCGTCCCGCAGCGCAGGGCTGGGGCGGAGGTGCCTCTGACCGCTTCCGTATGAAATCACCGGAGGAGCATCGCATGGAGCGAGCTTTTGGGATGACTCAGGCCTGGATGGCAAATGTCTGCAAAGGGAGGAAATTCGTTACCAGCTGTGCTCGTGGGGCCGGCAGCTCGCCGGTGTAAATCTACAGGACGTAGATGAAGCGTTGCTCATTTACAGCAGGTAAGAGCCAGCCTCGCAGGAAGCAGAGGCAAGCTGAACTGCCGAGAAACTTGTGAAAGTGGCACGTTTATTGTGAGCTCCGTGCGTGTGCAATTGATGGAAGAGGGCCCGAAACAGCAGCAGGACACCCTGGAGCCACAGGCTAAAGCCACGGGATGGAGCCCGTGAAGGAGCATCATGGGCTGGATGAGCAGGACCGGCTCTGGGGCTCAGGACTGGCTCTGGGGCTCAGGACTGGCTCTGGGGCTCACCTTGGCTCCTGAAGAACAAAAGCAAAGAGTTGGAGCTGGTTGTTTCCGCGCTGCAGGCTGGGGTCCGGGTTGCGAACACCCTGCTAGAGGAAAAGGGGAGCAAAATCCCCCAAGGCAAGCAAGGGGCTACCAGAGTCACCCAGGAGCCATGCCCTGGACTCAGGGGTGGCTGGTGGCACGGGGGGTCCCTGTCTGCACAGCACCGCACCGCATAGACACAGCCCAAAGTCTTCCTGAACACTGATAATTACAGTTGCAATAACAGGCATTTGCTTACTGCAGTTTTGTAGCTGGGTAAGCAGTGCAAACATCCCCCAGTAAATGCAGATCTTCCCTCTTCATGAGTCGCTTTCCCCCAGGAACAAAACGGGTTTTTCTTTCTTTCTTTCTTTCTTTTTTGGGGGGATGTCTTTTCTGAGCCGTGCTCAGGAACTGCAGACGTGTACATAACATATCTGTGTCAAAATTATGTAAGGGCTCCATTAATATAAAACTTGCACAGCTGTAAGAACACTTACAAGCTCTTCATGTCTTATGCAATTGCATAGACGCACGCAAAGAAAGTTAGAAAAAAAGGATATGGATTAAATTCATGCTAAATAAACAATAAAAAGACATGAAACTCAATGCCTAAATGCTCTTCCTTTTAAAGGCACAGCTGGCATAAAACAGCTGAATGTCAGATTTAACTGCTCTGATTCTAATTACAACCATACCTTTGTTCGAATATGCCCTTTGGTATATCACTTTTCTCTGAAAGGGCTCGAACAAGAGCTAACTCCCCCTGTGCCGCGGCGCACGAGGCACTGCCGGAGCATTACTGCGTCCATGTGGAATGCATTGAGCCGTGGCGCTTTCCAAACACGGGGCTCTGCTCCGGGCTCTGGTGTTCCTGGAACAGGCT